CATGTTTCTTTTCTTTTATCTACTGAACACTTCTTCCAACAATCTACTAGCCGAATTACACTTATGCTAGAAATTTTATCAAACAAACTGCTTAATCATGACAAATATTCACTGCAAAATTGGGAAAAAGTGCACAATACCATAACTCCTACGCGTTTTTCAAAATAACACTACACATAAACCATGTACACGCCGACTTATTTTTACTTAAAAAAACATCCCGAATTGCACAAAAATGGCATTGGCACACTCTTCACTATATCCATGTACACTGCTTTTTTCTCATAAATTACAAAAATTTCAACGAAAATACATGACAATTTTCTCAATCTTTAACCCGGTAAAAGAACATATATGAAATTACATGATCGCGAAAAAGTATTTACCCTTTACAAATATGAACATTTCCACATATAAAATAATAAAATATCCAAAAACTTTTACCTCTAATCATCTTTACATTATACACATCACCAACGAATCATACCTCAAGCATTACAAATACTTAATATCAATATTTAAATTATTTCCATGCACGTTTATTTCAACTTAACGTATACCAATTCCTACAAACATAAAATTCACAAAAACTATCATTTCAATTAAAATATAATAAATTCAAAAACACTACTTAAAATATAAATGAGCACATACATTACATTAATAAAATTACCTTACAATCCTAATTACTTTAACTAAATCTTGCTAATAACATTTTCCCAATATACCAATTCCTTTCCACCTTACATTTACAACAATGCATAAAAATAAAATCCTCAAATAATTAAAAATACGAACTTACCTAATCTTCTTCAGAATTTGATTACGTGGCGGATACACTTTTCTTACTTCTGATTCAGAATCTTTAAAATCATACTTATCTTTCAAAGCAAGATACAGGTAAAATAAATACATGATAAAACATCTTTATTTCTCTCTCGCACAACCTTAAAAAACATTTATTCTATCCTTTTCAATACCACTAAATACCCATTTCGAATTCACTTTAGTTACGGCCATGGGATCCAAAAATTCACAACACTATTTCACACACACAGAATAAAGCAAATACAAAATTGCCAGATTTTTCCCGATAAAGACAATATTCGTCCATTATTTCACATAAACATATCCCATGATCTCTCATTTCCCTCACACAAAATAATGCATATCAGAACTGAATACTACTCACATTCTTAACAAGTGTACTAACCTAATCTCTTCCGAATCTTCCTTACATGGTGGATAACTTTTATTATGGATTCAATAAAATTACTGAACGATTTTTTTTTCCGAATTTGATAGAATTTGATAAAAAAAAAAAAATTCTCTTTATCACACATCTACAATTCACTTTAGAACGCGCCATAAATCCCAAAATTATTCAACCTTACTTCACACAACACACAATGAAGCTTAATAACAAATAATATCATCCACAGATACTTTGTCCAAATTCCCCCTTTTCGATTAAAACCGTAATTCGTCCATTAATATCTCATGACATATCCCATGATCTCTCGTTTACCTCACACAAAATAATGCGTAATCGGAAGTGAGTACTGTTCACATTATTACCAAAGTCCCAGGTAGTAACCTTTATCGCCTCCAAAATGTCGCAAACTACCAGTTACCATATTGTAAAGATCCACCAAGAATTTAAGTATTTGAGCTAAGTATTTGGAACCATTTTAAATGTTTGCGTTATAAATTGGCAGGTAAGGTTATAATAGATAATTTAGAGGGAAAAGTTTTTGGATATTTTTTTATTTTATACGTGCAAATGTCCTCCTTGGAAGGTAATACTTTTTCGCGATCAGTATTTCATATATGTTCTTTTTACCGAATTTAAAGATTCACAAATTTCATGCATTTTCGTGAAATTTTTCTAATTTTATGAGAAAGAAGCAGTGTACATAGATATAGTGAGGAGGTGCACGATGCCATTTTTTGTGCAATTCTGGGATGTTTTTTTTTAAATAAAATAAGTCGACATGTACATGGTTTAATTATATTTTAATTAAATGATGTTTTTTTGTGAATTATATGTTTGTAGCAATTTGGTATACGTTTGAGTGAAGTAGATGTGCATGGAAATAATTTAAATATTTGACACTAAGTATTTGTAACCATTTTTAACTCTTTCGCATCGAAATCGCCCGTAGCGCCCGTTCATTCAGGCAACGGCAAACCGCCCGAACACCTCGTTTATTTTCTACATAGTTCTTTCCCCTCCACGTTAGTGTATGGCTCATTGGTTTCGCGAGTTGTTAAAAGACATGTCAATCATTCTTTTGAAGCAAATAAAGGAGAAATACAGAAAGCTATTGACGTTCGCAGGTGCAAATCCGGCCTAAGGTGAAACTGCCACAATGGATGAATGGATGAAACCGCAAAAGGGGGAAAGGAAAACTATTCCAAGACAAATTCGTAACACGGCGTTTTCAATGTTTGTTGAAAACAGATTTGGTCGTCTCTCGATGCGAAAAAGTTAATGTTTGTTATGAATCGTTGGTGATGTTTATAATAGATAATTTAGAGGGTAAAAGTTTTTGGATATTTTATTTATATTACGTGGAAATTTCACCTTGGATAGGGTATATACTTTTTCGCGATCAGGTAATTCATATATGTGCTTTTTACCAAGTTTAAGATTCACAAAATTTTCCTGTATTTCGAGTAAATTTTTAATTTATGAAAAATAGCATGTAGATGATAAAGTCAGAGTGTGCGCAATGTCATTTTGTGCAATTCTGCGATGTTTTTTTTAAGTAAAATAAGTCGACATGTACATGGTTTGTGTATGTGTGATTTGAAAACCGGCAAGAGTCTGCGATTCTGCACTTTTTCCTCAATTTTTGCAGTTAATATTGTCATGATTAAGCAGTTTTGTTCCATAAAATTTCTAGCATAAGTGTAATTCGGCTAGCAGATTGTTGGAAAAAGTTGAGTAAATAAAAGAAAGAAACCATGTCTTTCTTCGTGAAGACAGAATGGCGGCGAAAGAAAAATAGAGGGTTGCTGTAGCAGAGTTGGTCGCCAAATTTTTGCCAAAAAATCGCCAAGTTACCATAATCCAAAGATTAACCCACATTTGACCTTTTTTTTTTTTTAATTTCTTCTGTACTGAAAGTTGGCAAAAGTGGCTGTTTCAGCACTAAATTCACAACATGCAACTTTTAAATGTTGACAAAGGTTAGTCACTGGTTTAACCACTAAGCACTCGTATTCTGTTATATGAATGAACTTGCAAAGGTTATTGTGCTACATAAATGCTATGTATATGGTTAATATGCTACATATTGCAAGGTTGATTATGCTACATATATGAAAACCATTGATAATGATAAGTAGTTATAAAGTCACCATGAAACAAAACTGCAGCAAATTACCAGTATTTCATGGATTTAGTCATATAAGTATTAATGGTTATTTTTAATAGAAATTAATCATTGCATGCTTATTTATATTATCTAAAAAAATCAAGGATTATAAATTTAATTATGAAATATTTTAAAATTTTTTAATTAATAAAGTATTATAGTTTGACTAGAACTACTAAGAGAAAATGACTACCCAGTTTTACCATATCCAAAATCCATACCCCTTCTGACATTAAACCCACCAAACAATTTTTTGTCAGCAGGTACAGCAGGAAATATGACTTTTCCATCTAATATTTAACCCTCTGAGCAGCCCACGTTTTTGGAGCTGTCATGAAGAACTGTATTTAAAGAGCCTTTATTAGCTAAATATGTATGTTTACCTATTTTAGTCTCTATTTTCATAAACTTACATTCATCTAGATGGCATTTATATTATTAATGAAAGTAAGAAAGCAAAATATCATAAATTATAAGCTAATATATAATAAGTGACAAAAAATCTCATGACTGGATAAAGCCAGTGATGGGGCTCAGAGGGTTATTATGCATAAAATATTGTTTTCAGCATGATTTTAAAATGCCTTCTACAGTAGCCTTGGCAAGAAAGGAAATTTGGTGCTTTGGCGCTGAACAAAAGGTTACCAATGCGTGCAAGCATGTCAGAAACAAACAATTGCTCATATGTATATTTGCAAGAAACAAACTTGTTTTGTAATTATGTTGCATTGATATAACAGTTTATGATTGCAAAATACTCATTATGCTTATTATTTTCAATTTTGCATCAACAGAAAAAAAAAGCTATAAGTGATGTTTGAGGCATTACTAACAGTAACTGCTAAACTAGCCACCACAATCAATTATCAAAATTGTATTAGGATCCTAAGCAAAGATCCAAATTTGTGATGTATTTTTATTTAAAACAAAAAATATGACAAGCAAAATAGTTTTCCAAAACAACTTAACTTTCAAGTGTCTGAATCATTATGCAGTTTGGTTTGATTTAGCTGATTACTGCATAGCACACTAGTCATTTGTCATTAATTCACTTGCCAAGTGATCTGACAGGCAGCTGCTTTAAAAGAATGCTAGGTAAAAGTTTACAATTGGGTGCCCCTTGTTTTTTGGCGATTCTTTTTTGACGCCAATATCGGCGCCAGGAAGATATAATTTCAAGATGGCCGCTACACAAAACCAAAATAAGTCAAGATTGCAAAACTCCGTGTCCATGTACCATCGATCGTTTTCACTTAAAAAACATCCCAGAATTGCACAAACTACGCATTGTGCACTGTTTAAATTTGTCCATGTACACATCAATCTATTTTTATTTAAAAAAATTCAGGACGCTAAAGCAAAGTTACACTATCATGGTAACCAGAAACAAGATTTCATTGGAAAAATTTTACAAAAAATTGTCGCTAATCGAAGGGACACCCAATTCTACACTAGAGCGGAATGCTATTTTATTCGGAACAGTCACACTGTATTCAGTAACAGTTTCAAAGAGTTACAAAGGACAAGAACAGTTCAACAAGCAAATACGTAAACAATGCGTAGGGAACACTAAAAATAAAAAGAAAACACGTATACAAAGAATAAAAGAAACAATACCAGGAGAAACTGATTCTTCTGTAAAAGTTAATGCACTTTTAATTGTTCGAATGTTATTGATACATGCACGTTTAGTTAAATGACACGACATATTTTTAAAAAATTTTTACACCGAAACCATATTAGTTTTCGTAACTAGAAATACACACAGACAAGTCTCGTTTTGCACTTACTTAAGTCTTTTTGCCTAGATGGTGAGCGTAGCCAAGAGCGATGCGTAGTGCAGGGAGAAAATTATAAAGACAGACAGACAGACAAAGTAGACAGATGTCTTGTTTTGCACCCGCTAAGTCTTTCTGCACCGATGGGCGAAAAATCAAGCATAGGTGCGAAGGAAAGGTATATAGAAAGAGGGGCAATTTCGTATTTGAGGAGAGTAAAAAGGAACTTCGTACATCTTGTACGAGTTCAAAAGGCCAGGAAGAAAAGATGGGACAAAATAAAATTTAAAATAAATGGCCCAAAAATAATAGAGGAAAAAAAAAAAAAAAAAAAGGGCCTATAGAAAGAAAAGGAAAAGAAGTAGAAAATATCCTAAAATACGATTGTGTCCATGAGTGTAGTTAAAAGGAGAAGAAACTGTCTTCATTTACAATAAATAGTGTCTCACAGGTGTGTTTGTGTAGTGAGTGTGTTTGGTAATGGTGAATAGATGTTACTGGGAAAAAACAAATATTGACGGTATTTATTTTCGTATCAAGGTATTTAGCATGGAATATAAAGTAATATGTACGCTTGCATCCTGAGATATCAACAAAGGTCATCAAACAAAAGTATATATTAATTTAACCAAAGTAACTTATGCTACTTTCATTTCAACATTTTCATACATTTTTCAAAAAACAGCAGCAGAACTAAACTACATAGAACCATATACAATACAAGACCACAACCGCATACACCCAAACAAACACACACAAATAAATAAATAGAATAATATAATATATATATATATGTGTGTGTGTGTAAATTACTGAGTATATGTAGTTAAAAACACAAATTAAACAGTAGTTATTAACTATCATAATTTATTACAAGATTAATTATTTTACTATCATAATTTATTACTAGTTAAATAATGTTAATATAACACAATGAGGCACACTGTTATTTATATAAGCTCATAGTTCTAAAAATTCATTTAAGGCGGTGAAGAATAAAACCATCCCTTACATATGGACATTTAACAGATAGCAAAGAACAGTATGAGAAAAAATCGGTGAGGTATTAATATTATTTAAAGGCGAAAACTATTTCAAGCGATCTAGAAAGAAAAGAGAATCCAGAAGATCCGAGAGGGAAATAGCGCGATGCCCAAATTATCCCTCTCATCCCCAAATTTTCCCTCTCTCGAGATTCCTTAAGGGCTTTGTAAGTGTTGACAGACGTGAACTGATAACGCTGGCGT